GGAGACTGAAAGCGCAGTAAATGAGAAAGGTCTGACGAAAGTTTAACGAGCTGAAATATCGTAACACAGTTTCCTCTCTCCATGGATTCTCCCTGATATCCTGAGTGCTGCCAGCGACTTCTGATATTATGTAGTTTTTCTATTGACGTTCCTGGAAAGAGGGGACAACAAGTCGGAGTGACTCCAGCAAAGTAGCTCCAGATAGCGAGGGAGAAATGCCGACCGAGCTGCCTTGGGATGCTGGGTGGCTGGGGAGGGGTGAAATAGCCGGGTCCAAAGACCGAGAACGTCTGGTTAGATGAGAGGGATGATGGACGTAAAGCAGTTTCTCACTGGGGAATGAGGGAGCATTCTGTGAGGAAACTGTAAGACACATCCTTTGGTAGCTGCTCTCAGTCCCCCCGACACACAAATCCGCGCGCCGCACTCCCACGTTGGCCGAGGGAGGCTTCGATCGTCTGTCCTGACTGACAGTGAACCACACAAAACGGTCGCCTATTTCTCTTTACTCCCTCCATCTCTCTTCCTCTCTCTCTCGCTCTTACTCTCTCTCTCACTCTCTTCCCCCCTCTCTCTCTCACTCTCTTCCCCCCTCTCTCTCTCTCTCGCTCTCTCTCTCTCTATCTCTCTGTCTCAATCTGTCTCTCTCTCTTTCTCTCTCTCTCTCCCTTACTCAGTCTCAGCAGGTTGCTCTCCCTTTATCGGTCGTTCTCTCTCTCTGTTTCATTCTCTTTCTCTCTGTGTGTGAGAGAGACAGGAGATATGAGAGAACTATTGAGGTCAAATTGAAGCTGATGTTGACCACAGTTGACGATGGGAAGATGGAGAGACGGCAAAAAGCAGTTCATAGCTACCGGCCTCCGTGCTAAACTCTGACTGTGGCGTAGACTGGACGTTTGCGCTCCATTGCTTGACGGCGATTCCCCCTCCTCTTTCCGAATTCCAATTGGGCGTATGTTATATCACCGTCCTGCAAACAGAACAACAATCAGCACATTTCCTGACGATCAAGGGGAAACATGAGCACCTAAATATCCATCTATGAGCTCCTTGGTGAGACCCCAAGTCACAGCTCCACTGAATGTCCCTACCTGTGAGTCTCTTTGTCCCCCAACCCCCCGGGAAACCTCAACTTACAGCTCTTTTGTGTACGGGATGGCTTAGTCAAGGAGGGATTTGAGGCGGCACTTGATGGAGATTAAGGAGATGGAGAGGCAGAGTGATTGGGGGATGGGATTCCAGAAGTTGGGGGCTGAGTCGCTGAAGGGTCTCCTGCCGATCGTGGGGTGGGTGAGAGAGGGACGTAGAGCACGCCGGATCAGGTTGAACGGAAGGAGCTGGCTGGTTGTTAGGCGATAATGAAGTCACCGAGGGAGGGTGTGACCAGGCCATGGAGAGCTTTATAGATGAAGACCAGGATGTTGAACTGGATCCTGTGAAGCACAGCATGCCCAAGGGGTCGGGCGAGAATGGGAGGGATAGGGGACACGGATTATGTTCTGGAGAGGACAAGGGCTGCAGAGTAAGTTCTGGATTATCTGCAGCCTGTGGAGGGGGGAGTTTGGAAGGCCGACAAGCAGGGCGAGTGCTTAGTCGAACCTGGAGGTGAAGAAAGCTTGAAGAAGAGTTTTAGCGGCCTGAGGGTTGAGGTAATGGCGGACGCGGGCGATATTACGGAGGTGAGGGAAGCGAGAGCCGGTCATGGCATGGATATGTGGAAGAAAAAACAATTTAGGGTCAAACAAGACATCTTGATGTCTGCCAGGACCTGAGGTTCAGAGGCGATGGCGCGAGCCAATGAGGAGGGCCTCAGACCTGTTCACATTCAACTGTAGGAAACTTGCCCTCATCCAGGATTGGAATATTTCACAGGCAGTAAATAAGGACAGCAGCTTTCCTGAAGTTGAGGGTAGAGGCAGATAGATAGAGTTGGGTGTCATTACAAATGGAAGTTGACCACTTGTAAGCGGATGATGTCATCAACAATAACAAAAACAACAACAACAACATGTATTTATATAGCGGCCTCCACTCCGGACGGCGTCTCAAAATAATGTGGAGCATATAGATATTACAGAGTAGAGGGCCAAGTTCATAGCCCGGCGGGGAAATGCGACGACTGGAGGAGAAACCGTTAGGGGCGATAAGGTGGAGACGGTGAAAGAGATCGGAATCGAACCAAGGAAGGGAAGGTCCGCGAAGATTAAGTGAGGAGGTGAGGCGGTGTATGAGGATGGAGTGTTCGACAGTGTCGAAAGCGCCAGATAGGTCGAGAAAGACATGGAGGCAGAGCAGCCTGATCACAGATATTAAGAATGTCATTGGCGGCTTTGAACAGGGATGGTTCTGTGCTATGGGCAACGGGGATTCCGCATTGAAGGGGTTCAAAGATGGAAGGAAAGAAAGAAGGAAAGAAAGAAAGAAAGAAAGAAAGAAAGAAAGAAAGAAAGAAAGAAAGAAAGAAAGAAAGAAAGAAAGAAAGAAAGAAAGAAAGAAAGGAACGAAGCCTGGATTTTTCTGTTGCTTCCAAGATAACCTTGGAGTAGAAGGAGGATTTGGCAGAGGCAAGAACGCAGCGGTAGTGCTAGTTTTGGTGAAGCCAAATCTGCCCATGGACCGTTAATTTGGATTTGGTCTAGGCGCGATCGGCAGTTTGCACTTGTGCCTTGTGGGAACGGAGATGGCTGGTGTGCCAGGGAGATATTCGGGAGTATGAGGCATTTCGGCAGGTGAGGGGAGCAATGGAATGGTGGAAAGGGAGATGTAGAGAAAAGAATGTGAGAAGGGGAGATCAGTCAGAGATGGCCAGAGGTGTAGGAGTTCAAATGAATCCAGGCCAGTGAAGAGGGAGAAAATGTACAGTCACACACATAGACACATCATCATACAGACAGACAAAAATATATATGTACACACAAACAGACACCAACACACACGCACATATATATACAACACACATACAGAAACATACACCCACAAACGCATACACACAAGCCTAGACAGACAGGCACATACATATACATATACACACACACGCAAAAACATACACACACACACGCATACAGATAAACATAGACAGACAGATAGACATACATACATATATATATATATACACACACATACACATACTGAGGTAGGCAGATACAAACATATATGCACACACTAGCCCCAACTCAGAGCCCGCCTCCCGCCCCCCAAACACAGACATGCACAGACACACATTTATACACAGATACGCATTTATGTGCTTTTCATGTGGCGAGCACGGCTCACAATGATTTACAATATTTACGATAAACTGAAGGAAATTTAAAGCAGAACAAAGCAACCAACTTTTGTAAAGCAGCATCCAACAAGCGCACAGATAGTCCACTGAAGAGTAAATCTTGTGAAGCGCTTTGAAACATCCTCCTCATGTAAAAGGAACTGTACCGAATGCAAGCGATACTATTATTATTAAGTGCGCGATCAATATCGTCCATGACAAGAGGGAAATCTCCCTTTTCTCTTCGAGTATGGTCAAAGTCAAAATCACGGAATTTAGGTTCAGGAAAGAGTGCGTTGACTGAGTCCAGCTGACATCGTGTACACCGACATCCTGTCAGGACAGCAGTGGACCTGGAGTGAAAGGTGGAGACAGATAGGTAGTGTTGGGGTGTCATCCGCATACTTGTGGAAGTTAATCCCATGTCTGCGGCTGCTGTCACCAAGAGGGAGTACAAGGTGTACTTGACGGGGAAGAGAACACGGACAGAGACCTGTGGAATACCTAACGAGACAAAGCGCCTCAGCGAGGCTGAAACGAGGCTCGAGATGTGCTGAGCCAGATTCACACAGCGTTTAGCTGGGCTCAGACACTCTGTCACAGGGCCTGAGCTGTGCTGACACAGGGCGTCAGGTGGATTGTCACAGGGCCTGAGCTTGAATGACACAAGCCTGAGCTGGGCTGTCACCGGGCCTGAGTTGGGCTGAAACCATTATCCCGTACCAACTCACCTCTGGAGGCACCGATCGTGGAGCAATTCTCACCGTCGCATCTGAAAGGAACAGAAATGTAATTTAAAATCAGCACATTTCAATAACACTGACCATTAATTAAAATTATTAACAATTATATTAATAATTAAAATTATAATGATTGTTGATGAGGACAATAATAATTATTGAACGAACAGTGACGTATTAATAATCCCTGCAAGTGAACTAACACTTTATTACCTCGTTGCGACGCGGCAAAGCACTTCATGGGAGACATTGCATAGTGGAGAGACTGTTTGCTTTTTGAGCGAGAAACAACATCAAGTTTTACACAAAGTTTCTCACAAGCTGACATGGAGTGAAAGATCTACTTTGTTTCGGTAATTGTCGACTAAGACAACGGGATTTTTTTTTCCCTCTTTGAATAGTGCCGGTGCATATTTATTATCCGCCTAAACAGGCAGATGCAACCTTCGTTTAACATCTGGTCTGAAGGATAGAACACATGAAGTGGCTGAAATTCAGAGACGTGAGTTACAGAAAGGCAAACGGAGAGACAATTACTCAGATATGGAAGACAAGCATAGAATCAGACAAGCAGAAAGGCAGACAGAAAAATAGACAGAAAAATACACAGACATACACACAGTGAGAAACACAGTTAGATACGCAGATGTGCATGGATTCAGACACACCAAAAGACAGACAAAAATAGATAGAAATAAACACATACAGTAAGAAAGAAAGACACAAAGATATGCGGAGAGACAGACAGAAACACAGAAACACATACGCACTCACATACAGATAGAATAAGAGAGAAGGGGAGTAAGAGTGCCAGAGATAAAGGCTAAGAGGACAATAGCCTCTGGTTTCAGAGAGGCTCATGAGCAAGCTATGGATTTGTGCGGGGCTCGGGCACACGGCTGACCAGGACTGTTTGTGATCAGCTGCTTTTCCTCTGGGCTCAAACTCAGGAAACCTATCACTCACATATGACGTTGTTGGTTTCGGCGTCGCCTCCTCTGGTTACGTACCTGAAACAGAAACAAAGCGAGAAGCGAGCGATGGCGGAGAGGGTTTATCTGGAGAGGGGAGTAGAGTGCGCGCGTGTGGGTGAGGACGATGTGTGCGTAGGAGAAAGTTTGTGTGGGGGAGTGTATGTGGGTGCTTGCTTGTGTGGTTGAATTGTGGGTGTGCGGCGAGGCGATGTGGATGTATATGTGGGTCGCGGTGCTTGTGTCGGAATATTGTGTGTGTAGAGGGCGGTTGTTCGTGTGGGATTGAATGGTGTGAATGGGGGGAACTTATGCGTGTGTGGGGGAAGGCTGTGAGTGTGGGACAGGGTGTGCGGGGGGGCAAGCTGAGTGTGGGGTAGAGGGTACCTGTGTGGAGCGGAGGATGGATGTGGGCGGACGTTGCGTGTGGTTTATGTGGGAAAGTAGTGTGCGTATTTAGCTGTGTGTGTATGGGTGGAGAGTCTGTATTCGTCAGAGGATGTTGGTGAGGGTGTCTGTGGTAGAGGCTGCGTGTTTGAGGGTGGGTGTGTGGGGGGGTGTGTGCACGTGGGAGGAAATTATCGCTGTGGGAATGTGTGAGTTGGGCAGAGTGTGTGACGGGAGTGTGCGTGTGGAGAAGTTTGTGCGTGGAAGGGTTTGTGGGAGTTGAGTGTTTGGCGGAGGGTGTGATTTTGGAGAGGTTGCTGGGGGACGCTCTTTGTGGGGGAGGCTGTTAGTTGGGGTGAGAATTAGTGTGTGCAGGAGGCTTGGGTTTGTGGCGGAGGTTGTGTGTGGGGGTGGTGGAGGGTGTGTTTGGGGGGCATGGGGAAACGTGTTTGTGTTGGGTGTGGGTTTCGGTAGGTATTGGAGGAGAGAGCAACAGTGCGGACTCGAGCACAAGCACAGACACGATGGGGAGACAAAAGCGAATGGGATTCGAGAAGAGGTGTTCTTACATTGGATTCGTCTGTTTACCTGCAAGTACAAAGTATCATAAATGTTAAACATCCTTACCTTTCATGCAGCGTTAAAAAGCCCTTCAGAGACAATCGTTTCAAGTTCAGTTTCCTCTCTCACCCGCAACCCAACCCGCAAACAACAACCTCCCCCACGCCCAGGTCTCTCGCTTGCGTGGCGGGTTCTCTAACCACTGAGCTACAGCTCTTAACCATGTCACGAATCACATTGTCGAGGTTTCTGAATTATCTTAAGCTGAACTACAGAAAATGTGGTGAATGAACATTGTGAAAATAAACGGTGAAAGACAGTTACACACATCAGTGTCCCACAAACAGACATGGAGTGAGCGAATAATTTGCTTTGGTGGATTGGTCACCGGAAGACTGTAATTTTCTTCTCTTCTCGAATAGCGCCAAGGGATCTTTAACCTCCAGATGATCTGGCAGGTGTGACCTCGGTTTAACGGTTTTTCATATGCCACAGACTCAAGAATTAAGCGGTGAACAAACACTGTCAAACTACTGTAGCTTCTGCACCGGATATCTAACACGCACAACGTTCTCAAACCAAGAGGGGCTTTTCTATAACCCTTGAACCTCAATAGTGTCACCGATGCTAAGTACAATCTAATAACGCCCACTGTCTACTGTGTCCATTGCTGTCATGACAGACGGCCTGTCGGACTTCAAATCCTGGATGAGGGCAAACTTCCTACAATTGAATGTGAACAAGACTGAGGCCCTCCTGATAGGTTCACGCCAGCGCCTCAGCACCTCAGGCTCAGGCAACATCAACCTCCATGGTTGCACACGAAAACTCACCAAGCCAGTCAGGAATCTAGGTATCTTGTTCGACCCTAAACTTTCTTTTCTCCGCCACATTGAAACCATGAGACGCTTTGCTTTCCCTGATTTCTGTAACATCGAGCGACTCCGCCACTACCTCACCCCTGAGGCCACTGAAACTCTTGTTCATGCCTTCATCACCTCCAGGCTCGAATATGCAAACGCCCTGCTTGTCGCCCTTCGCAACTCCTCCCTCTACAAACCGCAGATAATCCAGAACTCTGCAGCTCGTGTCCTCTCCAGCACCAAACTCCAAGACCACATCTCCCCCACTCGCGCCAGAATCCGTTGGATCCAGTTCAAGATTGCGGTACACACCTACAAAGCCCTCCATGGCCTCGCCCCACCCTACCTCTGCGGCCACCTCACAACCTACAAACCCGCGCGTCCCCTCCACTCAGGGGCCTGTGGCCTAGACCTGGTCTCCCGACCCACAAGACCGAGCGTTGGCTGGAGATCCTTCAACCACACTGTCCCAACCTCTGGAAATCCAGTCACCATTCACTCTGCCTCGCCTTCTCCTAAGCCTTCTTGATGTCCCACCTGAAGACTCTGCTCTTCGACCATGAAGTCGGCCTCCCCCATTCACCACCCCTCCCTTCCTCCACATCCCATCCCACCCCTAAATCCAAACTCGGGTCTAAAATGCTGCACTTTGTCCAGCGTCTTGGGACGTCCGCCCGTCATGAAAGGTGCAATACACATGTAATGTTGTTGTTGTCAACATAATCACCGACATGTCTGTCTAACCCCGCAAGTGTGAATTATGCTTATTTGTCCCCTGGTAATAAATGAGTGTTTGAACTCCGAATTATGGTTCCGAAGCTCCGTTCTTATTTTCGCATCTGCACACTGACAAGAGCATCAACAGCAACTTATATTTCTATAGCACTCTGACACAGGTTAACGTCCAAGAGCGCTTTACATGGATACAGAAGATTATCAATACACATTGGCTAGTTCCGTATCTGGTTGGTTTATTCCCCCAAATTATACGCAATATTGATCGATTTTAATAGCCACTTACCTCTCTTATACACACATAATCTCAGTATAAACACAACGATCACTGTCACAGTGAAACTTCCCGCAGCCAGTCCTGCAGCGTGCATCCAAGTCCAGTTTCCTAGAGAGCGAAATGGACACACAGTAATTTGTCAACTTTGAAGAGCTAATATGGTGGAATACTCGTCAATTTAATTTGGTTTCATATCCTCCTGATGTGAAAGTGCTAGAGAAAATAATGTTTTCAATGTTTCAATCAAAATAGCCCCAGTTTATATCGTCTGTCCTCATGAGACAAGAATCTCTCCCTCTGACCCTGGGGAGGGGGAGCTAAGCAGACTCTCTTCAGTACCTGCGCTCGTGATCCGCCATGCTGCGGAAGATTGGAATCGAGTATGAATTTGATGATTGTCTCTAATCCGGTCACTGCGCAAGGCGGATATGCAGTATTCCGGGGCACTGCTGATGGCCCATCGGCAAGACGTTGAGAAACGATCGGTCACTGGGGGCCAAGATTCTTCCACCTCGGTCCCAAGAATATCCCAAGGTAGTGTGAACATTTTAGATCATCCTCGCTAGACAAGAAGTAGTTATGTGCTAGACCGTGCTCAAGGCAAGTAGTGAGCTTCAGCTGGTTAAATATCAGATTTTATGTTAAAATGTTATGATCTGGGTTGGCCAAAATTTGTCTCACGAAAAAATATACTTTCAAGTGATGATGATTACAACACCAGGGGCCTCACTGCCTTTGGGAAATTGAGAGAATTGACACCACGGACCTGCCGTGTGGGCATCATTCGAGCGTTTTGATTTGGAAAAATATTTTACCACGGGGATGGCTTTCAGTCCGGGTCAAACACTACATCCAACACCAGGAGATATAATGGAAATATGACCGATGGTGTACAATTTTTTGAAACAGGAGCTGCTGTAAATGGTAAATAGAAAAACAAGTTGTTTTGGGAGAGTTTACTGAGGTTTTACCCATCACAGAGATTCCCACTCGGTCGCTCTCTGGTGATGTAAACCAACGTCCGTCTACATTTGTAGCATATATACACGAGAAGTTTCCTTCCTCGATCTCCGATAGGGTAAATGTTGCTGTGCTGATATTCACTGGACTTAGTTGTGATGTGATAAACTCGCCATCTATGTATAAAGAGAAATTGCTGCCAGGATAATTCCCAGAACACGAGATCTCAGCTCTTTCCCCTCTCACAAACACCAATGAATCTGGATGCATTGAAATGGTGGGTTTCTGTAGCGGATCTGGAATTAAAACACAGTACAGGTAATCTGATAAACACTCGCGCAGTGAAACGGTTCATGGCAGAGTAAAAGTGACCAATTTGCTTGTTTCCCAGACAGAAGGAGGCGTCTGGACGTGGGTGACGGTGCGGGTTTGCGGTGCAAGTTCAAGACAGACTGCATCAAGTATTTCTGTACACAGCGGGAACGGGAGCGACACCTGGGAGCGGGGAGGACAGGGAGGGCAGGACACTCGGGTGACACACAGCTCCAGCCTGAGCTGGTCCTAGCTGGACAAGAAGCAGTTGTGTACCACACTGTGCTGAATGCAAGCCGTGTGATTTAGCTGATTAAATATCAGACTTTATGCTACAGCAGGATGTGGGTTGGCCAAAACATGTCTCACGGGAAAACATATAACTCAAAGTGATGACGATTGGAACTGCAGCGGCGTTACTCTCATTCGGAAATTGAGAGAATTCACACCACGGATCTGCCGTGTGCGGATTACTCGGGAGTTTGGATTTGGAAAATTATTTTACCACGGGGAAGGGTTTCCGTCCGGGTCAAAGAGTACATCCATCACCAGGAGATAGCATGGAAATATGATCAACGGTGGAAACAATTTTTGAAACAGGAGCTGTTGTAAATGATCAAAAGTAAAATACTGGTTACGTTGTGAGACTTTACTGCGCTTTTACCCCAAACAGAGATTCCCACTCGGTCGCTATCTGGTGATGTAAACTGTCGTCCGTCTATATTAGTAGTATATAGACACGATAAGTTTCCTTCCTTGATCTCCAATATGGTAAACGTTGCCGTATTGTTATTCACTGGAGCTGGTTGCGATGTGATAAACTCGCGATCTCTGCATAATGAGAAATTGCTGCCAGGATAATTTCCAGAACATGAGATCTCAGCACTTTCCCCTCTCACAAACACCAATGAATCTGGCTGCATTGAAATGTTTGGTTTCTGTAGCGGATCTGGAATTAAAACACAGTAAAGGTAATCTAATAAACAACCGCGCAGTGACACAGAACATGGCAGATTCCAAGTGAACATTTGCTTGTTTCCCGACAGGAGGAGGTGTCAGGACGATGGCTGACCGTGTGGGTTTGCGGGGCAAGTTCAAGACAGACCGCAGCAAGTACTTCTTCACACAGCGGGAAGGGGAGCGACAGCTGGGAGCGGAGAGATAGATCAGTGAGGGCAGGAGACTCTGGTAACACCCAGCTCCAGCGTGAGATGGTCCTCGCTGGACAAGAAGGAGTTGAGTACCAGAATGTACTCAATGCAAGCAGTGTGGGTTAGCTGGATAATATAACATTTTATGTTACAGCAGGATCTGGGTTGACCAAAACTTGTCTCAAGGGAAAAATATAAATTAAAATGATGGTAATTAGAACAGCAGGGGCGTCACTTACTTTGGGGGATGGGAATGTTTTATACCAAGGACCTGCCATATGGGGATGACTCGTGAGTTTGAATATGTAAAATGTTTTACCACGAGGATGGGTTTCCGTCCCGGTAAAATATTACATCGATCACCAGAAGATAACAAGGAAATATGACCGATAGTTTGAAAAATGTTTGAAGCAGGAGCTGCTGTAAACGGTGAAAACAAAAATAGTTTATTGTGCGAGATTTTACTGAGCTTTTACCCCACACAGAGATTCCAACTCGGTCGCTCTCTGGTGATATAAACTGTCGTCCGTCTATATTTGTAGTATATAGACACGAGATGTTTCCTTCCTTGATCTCCAATAGGGTAAATGTTGCCGAGTTGTTATTCAGTGGCGATGGTTGTGATGTGATAAACCGGCCATCACTGTATAAAGAGAAATTGCTTCCAGGATAATTCCCAGAACATGATACCTCAGCGCTTTCTCCTCTCACAAACACCAATGTGTCTGGCTGCATTGAAATGTTGGCTTTCTGCAGCGGATCTGGAATAAAAACACAATGAAGGTAATCCAATAAACGATCACGCAGTGACACGGATCATGGCAGTGTCAAAGTGACCATTTGCTTGTTTCCCAGTCAGGAGGAGGCGTCAGGACGGTGGGTGACGTTGTGGGTTTGCGGGGCAAGTTCGAGACAGACCGCAGCAAGTAATTCTTTACACAGAGGGAGGGGGAGCGACAGCTGGGAGAGGAAGGCCAGGGAGGGCAGGAGAAACGGGTGACACATATCTCCAGCCTGAGATGGTAGGAAAGGAATTCGGTCTGAATTGATCCTGCGATCCTCAGAAGTGTTTCAAACAATAGAATAAGTGTATACGAGTGGAACACACTGACACGTTAGGAGAAACGATTGCATACAGAGGGGAGTGAGATGATGGAAATCGCCGCCTGAAGCGGGGTGGTATCAGTCAGTGGAAATAGCAAGAGGAGTGAGACGCTCAAAGGAGGGATGCGGGAATAGTGGCTGTGGGAGGCATGGAGCGGGTGAAAGTGTGTGGGAGGCATGTAGCAACAAAAGGTGTGGGAGATTGGCGGAGAGAGTGAAGGAGAGGGTAATAGAGAGTGCACGACGAAGGGAGGGAGGGCGGGAGAAGGGAATATAGGGTTTACGGGAGAGGGATGGAGGAGCTATATGGGTGAAGAAGGTATGTGATGAAGAGCCGAATATAGGGTTGAGTGGGAGGGAGGAATAGGTGTGTGGGAGGGACTGAGGAAATGAGGGTTGGGAGGAAGGGTGTGGGAGTACATGAGGAATAATGGGTGTGGGCGGCGAAGAATAGAGGTTGAGCGGATAGGGAGAGAGTGATGAAAGGAGAGTGTGGAGCGTGGGGGAATTGGGGAGACACCCGTGTCGCGGAGCGGGTGAAATATGTGGGAGGATGTGGCGGAGGTGTGCAGTGATCACTGTGATTGAAGACAAGCGGCAGTGAGTGAACATTGCTGAGAGAGTCCCTACACTCGCACTTACCCCACACAGAGATTCCCACTCGCTCGCCCTCTGGTGATTTGAACTCTCGTCCACCCATGTGTGTTGTATATTTGCATGAGTAATTTCCTGCTCTGACCTCCGATGGGGTGAATGTTGCAGTGCTTCTATTCTCTGGAGCTGTTTGCGATGCGATCAACTTGCCATCTCTGTATAAAAAGAATTTGCTGCCAGGATAATTCCCATAACATATGATCCAGGTATTTTCCCCTCTCACAAACACCCGGTAATCTAGCTTCAGTGTGATGGTGGGTTTCCGTAGCGGATCTGGAAATAAAACACATTAAAGATAATGCCACAATCACAAGATATGTGAGACGGACATGGATCAGGTCAGAATAAAAGTGAACATGTGCTTGTTTCGGAACCTGGAAGATGTGGTCAAGGCGGTGGAGACGGGGAGGGGTTGGGGTACAGGTTCAGGATAGACCCTCAGCAAGTGATTATTTGCAGAGAGTGAGGGGAGCGACGGCTGGGAATGGGGTGGACAAGGCTGGTTGTGATTCCGGGTCTAGGATAACACACAGCTCCAGCCTGGGAGAGGAGGACGGTAATTCAGTCTGAAACACTCGCTTAATTTTCAGTCGTGTTAATGTACAACAGGATAATATCGCAGGATATCAAACAGCAGATTAGATGCAGCGACATCACATAGATGGGCGTGAGGTGTTGGGACTCATAGCCTGAAGCTGTGATGGAATCGTGAATTGTAGAAATATTCTAGAGGATGATAGATCTTCACGCAGTGATAGGGGAATAGAGTCTGTTTGGATGGAGGGAGTGGGTGGGAGGGAATGTGTCGGAGGGATGGAGCCACATAAGTTGTAGGAGGGAGAGCGGAGAGAGTGAACCGGAGCGATATATAAAGAATGTGGGAGGAAAGAAAGGAACGAGT